CACCACGCTACCCCCATGACCACCCTACCTTCCACTATGCTACCCATGACCACCCTACCTTCCACTATGCTACTCATGACAACCCTACCTTCCACCACGCTACCCCCATGACCACCCTACCTTCCACTATGCTACCCATGACCACCCTACCTTCCACTATGCTACCCATGACCACCCTACCTTCCACCACACTATACCCACGACCATTCTACCTTCCACCACGCTACCCCCCTGACCACCCTACCTTCCACTATGCTACCCATGCCCACCCTACCTTTCAATATGCTACTCATGACAACCCTACCTTCCACAACGCTACCCATGACCACCCTATCTTCCACTATGCTACTCATGACAACCCTACCTTCCACAACGCTACCCATGACCACCCTATCTTCCACTATGCTACCCATGACCACCCTACCTTCCACCACACTATCCCCACGACCACTCTATCTTTTACAACGCTACCACCATGACCACCCTACCTTCCACTACGCTATACCCACGTCCACTCTACCTTCTACTACGCTACCTATTATCACTTTATCCTGCTTATACGATACCGATGACTATACCCCACCGTCCACTACTCTATATGATTATACGACTATAGCCGTATATCGCTAGCAGCCAGGCACACTCACTAACAGATATGTCTGACTCACTCACAGTAGCTGGCTGACCTGGCATTCTGCCTCACCCGCACGCGCGTGGTGGCTACGGCACGCGTAATCGCACACGTAATACGCCGCTAATACGGCAATAGCCGGGGAACACATGCATGGCTTCTTACGGCTTCGTCATCATCGTCGACGCAGCGTCTGCCGCTTCAGCTGCTCGATTGCAGGTGTGCGGCGAGGATGCTGGGAGGATGCGGATGAATGCGTGATGGCGGCGATGGCTTCATTGGTTGGAGAGCGCGCGGGTCAGCGACACGCACGCACGCACACACGCACACACGCACATACACGCGCGCGCGTACGCACGCACACACATACACGCGCATGCTCGCGGGACGGACATCAAAGTTGTCGGTGGGTTTGATTAGACCAGGGTTGGATCGATACGAGACACGCTCGCTAGCTGATGAGCAGATCGGCAGCGACGAATTTACGCACGGTGAAAAAATCGGGAGCGAAAGAGAGAAGGGGGGGGGAAGAGAAGCGGGGGATGGAGTGGGGATGACATACATAGAAGGAGAGATGGCGAGAAAAAATCGGCAAGTCGGGGAAGATGATACAGGTGAATAGCTACCAAACACAAAGCCGAGCGCGTAAACAAAACAGAAGGCGCGCCTCGCGGCGTTACTAACACCCATGATCAATGAAACTATCCGCGCGGAAGACGAGGCGTATAAAAAAGTATAAAAAAAATAGTTCCGAACGCCATTGATTCGTCGCGCCGATTTTTTCTCGCTCTCTCTCTCTCTCTCTCTCTCTCTCTCTCTCTCTCTCTCTCTCTCTCTCTCTCTCTCTCTCTCTCTCTCTCTCTCTCTCTCTCTCTCTCTCTCTCTCTCTCTCTCTCTCTCTCTCTCTCTCTCTCTCTCTCTCTCTCTCTCTCTCTCTCTCTCTCTCTCTCTCTATCTCTATTATTCTATCCAACTACCTCTAGCCGCGCGTGAAAACAGAATAATCCGCTGGTAACAAGACCGCGTTATGAATGCTGCGATATGCGGCAACGCTAAAGCTAGCTAGCGGCACACGAGCGAATATTTTTCGCTGGATCGCCGCGATCAAATCGTCGGCGAAATTTTAATCCCGATCACTATAGCGATTTTACTCGAGACCGTACACCACGGTCTGCAAATCCGTCGATCACGTAAGATAATACATTATAAGATATAACAGTTTTATATCTATCACTTTCAATATTAGTAATTAGGTCCTACAAGGTGTTTACTCACCAGTCAGTTGCAGCTTTTCGGCGATCTCGTTCAATGCAGCGTCCTTTGCTACTCTGTCCCGATAACTATAGGTATTGATTGATAGAATGATTGATCAAACAGACATGGGTTTTCGGACCAAATGAGGACCAATTCGTATTATTTATTTTTCGTCCACGCTTTGTTTATGGGCGCAGCCATTTTCTGTCATGTGACATAATTTCAAATTGGTTTCTAGAAATTGTTGCGTTCGATTATGTTCGCCGCAGTGGGCAGACGACCGATTTTATCGGCGATCTACTCGCGGCGACAAGGTGCGATCCTATGGTGCGATCGCTCACGCGAACAGGATCGCCGAGATCAGGCGCCGTCGCTGTACTGGACAGACGAGCGAAGTTACGATCGAAGCGATTTCAAAATCGGCGCAATCCTACGAAACATATTCGTGCCCATAGAATAACAGGATACACTAACACACGTACATTTGTCAATGATCTCTCTCCCTAAACCACCCACCCGCCCCCATTTACCTCCCCCCCCCGGCCCTTAACCGCCCCCACCGACCCCATCCATCCACAGACGCGTCTAGACGCTGCACGTGCGCTCACGCTAATTATTCATAATTAGCGCAATTATGTCGATGATAATTGGGAGAGCGTGATGCGATGATATGAGAGTCTGTCCGTCATCTCAGCTTGATGGCTTCATACACGACGAGTACGCGCACACGAGAGAAGGGAGAGAGAGGAGAGAGAGAAGGGAGAGAGAGGAGAGAGAGAGAAGGAGAAGAGGAGAGAGAGAGGAGAGAGAGGAGAGAGAGAGGGAGAGAGAGAGAGAGAGAGAAGGAGAGAGAGAGAGAGAGAGAGAAGGGAGAGAGAGGAGAGAGAGAGAGAGAGAGAGAGAGAGAGAAGGGAGAGAGAGAGGAGAAAGAAGGGAGAGAGAGAGAGAGAGGTGGGTGGCGGAAAGAGAAGAGAGCCCTGGGCAGAGCAGGATAGAGGGCGACAAAAGGCGGAGAGAGAGAGTGAGATGAGAGAGAGAGTTGGGTGGGAGAGAGAGGAAGAGAGAGATGAGAGCGTGAGAGCCGCCTCCCCTCTGCCGCCATACTGCGAGTCCTCCTTCAGTGAGAGAGAGAGAGGGCGGGAGAGGAGAGACGAGAGAGGAGGCTGGGGAAAGATGAGAGAGATGAGAGTGGGGAAACGAGAGAGAGTGGGAGAGAGAGGGATAGAGGTGGGAAAAGGGGGAGAGAAGAGAGGGGAGAGAAGAGAGAGGCTGGAAGAGAGAGACGAGGGGAGACGATAGACGAGGAACGGATCGAGGAAGAGACAGAGAGAGGTGGGGAGACTGAGAGAGAGAGAACAGGTCGATTAGAGAGAACGAGAGGTGGGGAGAGGAGAATTGACGGGAGAGGAGAGGGAGAGGAAAGAGAGGAGGTGAGAGAGGAGAATACAGATGAGAAATAGGATTGCGAGAGAGACAAGGCGAGGGCGCGACGTGCCTGAGGGCGAGAAAAGACGAGATAATTCCTGCCCCCAGTCTGGTAGTTGAGAGAGAGGAGAGGGGAGCAACGGTACTGAGGAAGACGCGAAAAAGAACGGTGTGTGCGCGCACACCGCGGCGGGTCCTCCCACACAAGCTGCCCACATTCTCGGGCATCGCAGTTTGCGGGTGTTTCCCCCTGTTACTGTGCTCTCTCTCTCTCTCTCTCTCTTCTCTCTCTCTCTGCTTCTCTTCTCTCTCTCTCTCTCTCTGGTCTCTCTCCTCTCTATTTTTCTCCATCCTCTCTTTCTCTCTCTGCAAACGAATTCGTCGGCCTGTATGTCGGCGGTTCTTCGTCTGATGAAATTATCGAGTTTTTCTTAAAAACCGAGGACCTTCCTAGATTGCGTTGACTTCGACCAACTCGAAGGCGTCTGCGGCGAGACTGACGGCAAGTAGAAATCCACTGGAAAAGCTGTGGTGTTATGAACGAACTGATGCGTGTGAAACTGACTGTTATGTCCCAGCCCTGAGGTGTGTATCGCGTAGAATTGATGTGATTGGTCTGATGGTATTATGACTGTGTGAAGGCCGTGTGATGGCTGTCTAGAACTGTGTGAAGGTGTGATAGTAGAACTCGCTGTTTTTGCAAGGTGCGACTGTCTGTGATTGGTAGGAACTGTGTTGAGGATTGTGATGGGTAGAACTTGTGGAAGGCTGTGATGGTAAGAATCTGTGTCGAAGTCGGTGTGGGGTATTGGGATTACACGAACTGTGTTGAAGCGCCGTGTGATTGCTAGAACTGTTGTGAAAGGTGTCGATCGGTGTCTAGACAACTGTCCCCCGCCCTATCTGTGAAGGGCACCTGTGATGGTAGAACTGTGTTTCGAAGGTCGCCTTGTGACTCAGTAGAACTGTGTGGGAGAGGTGTGATGGCTAGCAACTGGTCGTCGTGTGGAGCGATGTCCGCGGATGGCTTGCGCTTAGAGGAACTTGCCCCACGCCTGTGAAGCCTGTGGATGATACGAAACTGTGTCTGAAGCGTGGTCCGATGGTTGAAACTGTGTGAAGGGTGTGATGGTAGAACTGTGTGAAGGTCGTGATGGTAAGAACTGTGTGAAGGTAGCGACCCAGATGCTCCCGCCTCTTCCGCGCCGCGAGATTGGTTCTTCGAAACTGTTTCGTTGAACGGTGTGATGGATTAGCTTTTAGCAACTCTCTCGCCTCGCTCGCAGTGGCCCCCCCCCCCGACGGAACTATGTCGGCAGACGGTGTGATGATAGGAACTGTGTGTGTGTGTATGGCCCTCTCTCGGAACTGTCTCAGTGAAAGGTGCTGGCATGCGCCTAGACTGCCCACCGCGGTGTTCGATGGTCCCCTACCGTGGTGTGATGGTTAGTAGAGACTTGTGTTGATAATGGCCTTCCCTGTTTGATGATAGAAACTGTGTGATGCGGGTGTGATGGTTAGAACTGTGTGAAGGTCCTGAACCGCGTGGTAGATTGCGAAACTTGTTGTTTGAAGGTTGTGATGGCTAAGCAGCTGTGTGAAGGTGTGATTGGTTAGGAACTGTGTGAAGGCTTGTCGAATGCAGGTTAGAACTTTTTTATGTGGATGGTGTCACATGGTAGGTTAGAACTTGTTGACTGAGTTTGTGATGGTGTAGGAACTGTTGTGCAAGGCTGTGATTCTGATAGGAAACTGTGTGAATCGGCCATGGTCGACTGGTAGATACTGTGTGACGGTGTCTCGGTTAGAACTGTTGTAGAAAGGTTGTTGATGGCCTAGTTTAGAGACTGTGTGACTTTTCGCCCGGTGCTCATGGTAACGAAACTGTCGTAAAGGTGTGATTGGTAGACACTTGCTGTGAAGGGCATCGTGTGAAGGTTGCTAGTTCATCGCGGTTTCGAACTCCGCTTCCCCTCCCCCGCTGCTAACCAAATGGCACCTGCTGACTGCCCGCTAGAACTGCTGTGATAGGTTCCGTACCCACCACTTGCTCATGGCTGAAAAGGACTGCTGTAAAGGCTGTCTCATGCATGCTAGGATACTCGTCGTCTGAAGGCTGCTCGTCGACCAGGGCCTCCCCCTCTTCTTGTGACTCGGCCTTAGAACTGTCGTGCCAGGCCCTGTGTCCCAACGGTCGCTGACCTCGCCTCCCTGCCTGGTTAGATCACTGGTCGTTTGCGCGCCGGTCCTCGCCATGGCCCCTAGAAACTGTCTGCTCGATCGGTGTCCAAATGGCCTTAGAACTGTAGTCGACACGGCTTCCCCGCCTCGCTACGAATCTGCCTTAGACAGTTCTGCTGTGAAGGATGTCGATGGTAGAACCAACTGTACGTAGCCAACGGCCCCCCCTTGTTGAATGCGCTCAGGAACTGTTGTGCTGCACACGGGCCCTGTGTGATGGTGTCCTCATGGCCTTAAGACCCTCGTCCGTGCGAACAGGCTGTTGACTGGCATTACGAACTGGCCTCCCCCCTCCCACCCTCTGATACGCCGTTGTCGCGCTGGGTAGCACCGACTGTCTCCGTGGGTGAACGCCTTGTCGACTCGGTAGAACACTTGTTCGTGCAGGTGCTCTGGATCGGCCTAGAAACTGTGTTGAACTGGATCGCTCGCATCGTGTAAGAGACCTGTCTGGTGTCGAACGGCTGTGCATGGTAGAACAACTGTCTCGTCGCGACAACCGGCCTCCGCTCGAATGTGCCCTCCCCTCCTCGAAACTCTTCGTTGAACGTGTGATGGCCTAGGACCACCTGTGTAATACCCGGTGCTCGCTCGCGCTCGCGCTCGTCCTCGCCGCACCGGCGCCCCCCCACCCTTCCTCGTCGCACCTGGGTGTGCCCGCCCTCCGCCCCACCCCCCCTAACCACTGCCCTCCCGTGACGGTGTGATGGGCCCTTCAGGAACTTGTGTGAACGGTCCGTTTCGCACTTGGCCTAGAACTGTTGACAGGTGTGATGGGGTAGGAATGTGCTGAATGGTGTTGGATGGCTTCAGAACTCGTGTGACCAGGGCTCCCCGCTCTGCCCCCCCGCTCCTGTGACTGATAGATACTGTGTGCAGGTGTGAATGGCTACGACACCTGCTGCTGCCAACGGGCTGTGATGGCCGTCAGACCACTTGTGCTGGAAGGTGTGCGATGGGTAGACCACCTGTGTTGACTAAGGCCCCCCCGTCCGCTCTGCCTTTCCTCGATCCCCCTTCCTCCGGGCCTGCTCGCCTTCCTCCCCTGCCACCCGTACGCGGCGCCTCCCTTCGGTCGTCTACCCGCTCCTCCGTGCCCCTCTTTCATTCGCTCCGTCTTCGCCCCTCGGCTGCTTCGATTTTGAGATATCATAACTGTTGTGGCATACGCCGCTGTCTTCGCCCGGATGGATAGAACCTTGTCTCCTCGCCGTGAAATTACCGATGGTAGAACGCGCTCGTGTGAAGGAGGTGTGATCCGTGGTTCTAGATAACCTGCCCCTCTCTTCCACCCGGCCACCTCCCTCCCCTTCCCCGTTGAACTCGGCTCTTGTTCGATGGCCTATGGAACCTGTGTGAACGGGTCTCTTGCTCCGATTGGTAGAATGTCGTTGAATGGTCCCCCTTGTCGATCGTGGTAGAAACTGTGTTGAAGGGTGTGATTGGTAGACTTGAGACAAACTGTCGTTAACAGGCGTCTGGTTGACTGTTAGCTATCGAACTGTGTGGAAGGGCCTGTGATTGGTACGACACCCTATGTCCGTTGAACGGCTGTCCAGATGTAGACACCTTGTCGTTCGCACCAGGTGTGATCTGATAGAACCCTGTGTGAACGCGCTTGCCCCCCTGCGCCCCTTCCCCCTCTCTCCTCTACCCCCCTTCCTGTGATTGGCCCTTTACAACTTGTGCTGAAGGTGTGATGGGTAGAACTGTCCGTGAACGGGATTCGTCGATGGTAAGGCAACTGTGTGAACGTCCACCCCCTCCCCTGTGATGGCTATGACACTGCCTGTGGAAGGCTCCAACCTTCCGCTCGCTTCGCATGCACCCTCTTAACGATATAAACTGTGTTGATGCGCTGGTGCCCCATTGCCTAGAACTGAGCTCTCACCGTGCTGATGTAGAACTGCACGATGTGGAAGGTGTGATGGTAGACACTTTGTGAACTGGCCCCGGTGTTGATGGTAGAACTGCGTGACAGGCCGCGGGGCTGTTGATGGTAGAACTGCCGTCTTGCGGCCGCTGCCCCTGTGTGAAGGTCGTCGCTCGCTCCTCATCGAAAACTGGCTCTGTCGCAAGGCTCTTGCTCCCGCCCTCTCCTTTTGTGTATTCGGTGTCCAGAAACTGTTGTGAAGGTGTGAATGCTCTTCTAGAACTGTGTGCGGATACGGTCCTTCTCCCATCTCTCCTCTAGCCGTTCCGCTGCTCCCATCACACCCTCCTCATCTCCTGTGATATCGGTAATGAACAACGTAAGTCTCGTCCGAATGACTTTTGCCCTCCTTCTCCTTCCTCTTTTCCTCCCTCTCCCTCCCCATCCGTCTCTTTCCCTTCTTCACCCCTGCCTGTACGATCGGCCTTCCGTAGAACTGCACATGCCGTTCGCAACAAGGGCATACTCCCTCGCCTCGTGCCCATCCCTCCTCTCGCCAATCACCATTCTGTGGATGTAGAACTGTGTGAAGCGTGTGGGACTGGTACTAGAACTGCGTGAAGGGTGGTGATGGTAGAACTGGTGGAAGGGTTGATGATAGAACTGTTCTCTGTGAAGGCCAGGCGTGTGATGGTAGAATGGATGCTTGAAGGGCTTGTGATGGTAGAACTGTGTTGAAGGTGTGATGGTATAGGAACTGTGTGGAAGGTTGTGGTCGGTAGAAACTGTTGTGAAGGTGTTGATGGCTTAGAACTTGTGTGAAGGGTTGATGGGTAGAACTTGATTGTGAAGGTGGTGATGGATATTGAACTGTTGTGAGCAGGTGTGATGGTAGAACTGTTGTTGAAAGGTCGTGATGGTAGCGAAACTGCCGTTGGAAGGACCCGCGAGGACCGGGGTGTGATGTGAGAACTGTGTGTGGAAGGTGTGCATCGATAGAGAAACTGTTGTCGAAGGTGCGCGGCCCTCACAGCACCCCTTCGTGTCGATGGTAGAAACTGTGTGAAGGCCGCCCCTGTGATGGTAGAAACCCCTGTCCGTGGAAGGACTGTGTGGTAGAAACTGTTTGCTGCCGCCAGTGATGGTGCTGATGCGTAGGAGACTGTAGTGAAGCGCTGTGATGGTTCTAGAAACTTGTGTGAAGGCTGTCGTCCGATGGCTTAGAACACTGTGTGAATGTGCGTGATGACTACGAGAAACTTCGTGAACGAAAGGGGGGGGCGGATTGTGATGGTAGAACCTGCGTGAGAGGTCGTGATTCCGTTCCGGCGTCCCTTAGAACCTGTGCTGCAACGGTGTGATGGTTTATAACTGCGGTGAAGGTGTGATGCTAAGGAAATACTGTGTGTGAAGCGCCTGTGATGATAAGAACCTGTGTGAAGGTGTGATGGACTAGAACTGTGTGGAAGGTGTGATGGTTAGAATCTGGTGTCGAACGGTGTCGATGTAGAAACTGTGGTGAGGAAGGGTGTCGCGGATTGGATAGAAACTGCCAACTCGCCGTGTGATGGGC